TCGAACGACAATTTAGGGTTCGATGGTCGAATCACAGCATTTTTGGGCGATGGAAAAGCATTTCATTGTAGGGGCCAACTATTTTTGGGCGGGGAAAGGGAGAAAAGGGGGTCTACAAACAAACAGACAACGGTCCTGCAAAGGGCAGAAACAAAAACCCGACAGGGGCCCAGCTCCCGTCGGCAAAGGAAAAACCCCCACCAGGGCAGGCCTCGCGAGGGAACGCTCGACTCAGATATACACGACTGACGTCTCACGACGAGGTGAACTGGCTTTAGGGGCTGCCGGCAGAACAGGACGGGACGATTCGGGCCACTGGGCCTGAGAGGATGTACCGGCATGGACATCTTTTGGTATCCCGTGCCACGACGGCGCTACACGCTGGGCACTGGCATGGGCGACCTATCATCGAACCCAACGCGGAATTTAGGGGAGGGACCAATCCGGCGAATGCACCCCGGTGTACATCTCTCTGACAACTCGCCCTTCTCGACGCAACAACAACAATCCACGATACCCCTTCCTCGACATTACTTCTTCCACCCTCCTCGACTGAAGGGAAGACTTATTTTCTCACCTGCTCACGCGGAAATTACACAACTACTTGCCCTTTTTTGACTTTGTTTTGTTTGATTTTTTCTTGGGCAACTACTTCCCTTCCCGTGTGGAAACCCGTCAGCATGTTGTTCCTTTACTTGTTTTCAACGGTCACTTTGTCTTTCTTTCTCCTCTTCTCCAGCTCTCTCTCTCTCTCTCTCTCTCTCTCTCTTTCGTTTCCATTCATCCTATATCGTCGTTTCCTGGACAGACATATTTGCACGTAGCCAGTCTTACATCATAGTCCGGAGAGCAAAGGAGGGAGTGTGAGGAAGAGAGGAAGAGTATCTGTCTGTACATTTCTTCGACTCCCGCAGGGGAATCTGGTTTCACACGCGACTGCTGCGCCACGATACCAATGTTTGTGTTGATGGCTTTTTTTCAATCATTTCCCAAGTCGTCTCTTCAGAGACCTGGGAGAGGATTCGGGTGGGGAGGAGGGGGGCTGGGTCTGCTGAGCAAGTGGAGATAAGGGGGGGGGGAGGGGAACGGGCTGACGATGCTACCAGCATCGGGGATGATCCGCAGAGGAAGAAGACACGCGATTCAGTCTGGCGAGGAAAACCACAACAGCAGTTGGCGGAAAGGAAGGCATGGGAACAACGACGGGAGAGCAAGGGGGAAGTTCGGCGAGGCTGGCAAGCCCTGATTGCCAGACCCCCTCCCCCCCGGGGAAGCGCAGGCGAAGAAAGGGGAGCACCGACAACCCGGACACACACAGAGATTGAAAGACAAACAACCCAACGGGCGGCCCCTATCTACATTTTTTAGTTTCGGGGAGTTGGCCCTCCCTTTCCCCCCTTCGTTTCCTTTCAGCACGTAATCGAATCAGCGAGTCTGTTCTTCCTTCTGCCGTCTTTCTTGGGAACCTGAAATCTGCATGCAACTGAACGAAAGAGCAGGTAGGGTACGGTGGACCACTGTCGCCTTGAGAATGGTATACAAGTGACTGAACAGCAAAAGCAAAAGTAAAAGTAAACGCGGGTATCAGCTTAACCTTTCGTCCCAGAGCTCGGCGACCCCCTTTTCCGCCAGCTCGGGCATGAGCCGCACCAATATGAGCTCTAATATGCCATACACGAGGTGTCTGTTACAGTACTCGTCAGAGAACACGTCCAGTATCCCCTCCTCGATCTCGCGCAGAACCCGCTCCTCCTCCGCCGTCCTATCCTCCTCGCTTTCCTCGCGCTCCTCCGTCGAAGTTTGCCCGCCGCTAGTGCCAACATCCCGTTCGCCCTCTTCGCGCGTCGCTGCTAGCTCGCCACTGCCACTGAGACGGTGACTCGGAACGGTCCGCGAGCGGAGGCCGAGGCCTCGCCCGCTGAGGTAGAAGCGAGACAGCCACCTCGGTACCAGGGCCAAGAGGGCGCTAGCGCAACGGCGGCGCAGGGCGCGCAGCTGGCTCTCGTCGGCGGGCGGCGTGAGAGACGAGACGCCCTGGGCGTTGTTGGGGAACAGAGCGCCGCGGGTGGCGCGCAGGAGTGTCGGGAGGTGGGACGAGTCGAGGAGGCGGCTGTGGATTGCGTGGGAGAGGAGTCTGTAGCTTGTCAGCCTCGTGTCGCCTTGTGCACATCTGTGGTTCTGAGATGCAACGGAACGTGCGTGCTTCGTGTGTGAGGACGAGAAGTGGTGTGGAGCTTTGGCCTCAAAGGGGAAGGGATCTGAGGGGTGTGGTAGGAAGTTGTGGTGATCGGACAGGGGAAGGGGCCAGAAACGGCAGCCAGACGCACTGGCGAACAGGCATGCGACCGCACGACCATAAGGCGTAGCAGCCAGATTGACAATGATCGAGTAAGACGTCTTGGTCCAAAAGGCACAGACGGCAAGGTGTGATTGATATCGGACTGGGATAGTGGCAGGGGCGGATTGTACAATCGAAATGAAGGCGAGAACACGCAAGATTTGAGGCTTGACTAGGGCCAGGGGCAAAGGGGGTCGGATGTCCAGGCCTCGCGGGTTCTTGGTGCGGGGTGGACTTTCGGAACGCACAGACTGAACGTGAAGGGTAGAGCTCAAGTGTGGAAGGCCATGATCCTGGCGGCCGGGGGTGCAGGCAAGACCGCTCTCAGTGATATGTGACAGAGGTAATATTTGTCTTGCGAGCTTTAGGCTCCGCGATGGAGGGTGGATGTAGCCAGACCGAGGCCCAACGCTAGGCCAAGACGAGGCGGTCGATGTCGTGAACGGCGACTGCTGCCGTCAGCCAAGTGCGGGAATCGAACGATGTCCCAACAAGAGCTGTGAGAATGTCAGGGGTCGTACGGTATGGTTCCTGGCGTCCAAGCTGCTTTGGTCTTTGCAGCGCGGATCCGAGGGATATCTGGTCCCTGGTCCTTCGCCGTTCGAGCTTGGCATCCGGCCTGGCCAAGCCATGGTACTCGATAGAGCTATGGCGGCAGCCACAGAAGACGGGTGATGGAAGCCGGCGGCAGCGGCGACTAGTGGTCGACCAGGCGATGGACAATCAACTTGGTTGTGAGGGGGGGATTGAAAAACAATCCAGACAGGCCAGTCGTGGTGAAAGAGATGACCTGGGGATGGTAGCGA